TGTGGAAGAGAAATAATCTGACTATCATAAGCCTTACGAATAGAATGACAATCCACATCAATGTGTTTAGTACGCTCATGAAATACAGGATTAACAGTAATTTGAATGGCACTAGTATTATCAGTATAAAGTAGAACAAGCTTAAACTGAAGACAACTAAGCTCCGCTAGAAGGCCCGTAGCAAAACAATCTTAGAACATGCAAAAGACATACAACGATACTCAGATTCAGTGGAAGATTTAGAGACACGATCATGTTTCTTGCTTCTCCAGGAAATTAATGCACCCCAAGAAACATGCATCAACCTGTAATCGAGCGATGAGTGTCCTCTCATTCAGCCCAATCCGTATCACTATATCCTATCAACTCAAGAGAAGAATTTGTAGGAAAGAATAGACCCCTATTGGGTGTTCCCAATAACTATTGTATAATGCCACAAACCACAATCAGATGAAGATGTCATGGAACATGCATAAACTGACAGACCTATTTGTATGGCAAAAAAAGATATTAGATCGAGTAATAGTGAGATAACTTGAACTGCCCACTAACTAGCGATTTAGAAAGGGATCAGGAAGGAGATCACCTTCCTCCTTACGGTACTTCACAGTCACCTCTAAAGGAGTATCAACCGAACGATCATCTCAAAGTCCAACTAAAGTAATCAACTCTTCCAAATACTTGTGCTAATGCAGATAAGTTCCGACTGAACTTTCAAGACCCAATAAATACTGCAAAGGGCCCAAATCCTTCATAAGGAAGGAATCCTTTAGTTGGTTTTGAAGTTGAGATTCAATCCGAAGTTAGTCCCGGTAATAACAATATCATCAATATAGACGAAAAGAAGCACAGTGCCTGATTTGGTGGTAGAGATAAAGAGAGACAAATCATATTTGCCCTAGGTAAATGAGTAACCCAAATGAGTAGAACAAAATTTGTTAAAAAAAGAGCCTACTTCAACCCATAAAACAAATGCTTTAGTTTACACACATTGGAAAATGGCAACGAAAAGAGACTTGCATGAGGTGTCATATAAATATCTTCTTTCAAGTTCACTATGTAAGAGCATTATTAACATCCATTTATCATGAAGACCATTCCTTGGAAGCAGCTATAACCAGTTTGAACTGTCATCATTTTGGCAACAAGGACAAAGGTCTCCTCAGAATCCACACCATATTCTTGATGATTCCCAAGAGCCACCAACTAAGCTTTATGAGGCTCCAGTGATCCATTAGTCTGGAGCTTAACAAAACAGACCTATCTGTACCCAATAGATTGAATACCAAGAGAGCAAGGAACAATATCTTATGTGTGATTCTCCTGAAGAGCTTGAAATTCCTCCTGCATAACTATCTCCCAATAGGGTTGAATAGTAGCTTGAGAATAAGAAGTAGGGACTTTGAAATGAGATAAGGTTGCAGAGAAACCATACCGATTAGGAGGATGAGTAACGCGAATGGATCACCAAAGAATAGCAAAGTCTGGGGATATGATCGGGATCGAGAACCAAAAAGAACAGTCAGTTTGGGACCGTCGTCCTTGATATAACATATCTGGTTCAAAACGATCTACAGAACCATAGTCATTCTCAAAGCTAATAACCAGTGCCAAATTAGGAGACTAAACATCTTGGGAGTAGTACTAATTCTCAAAAAAACCACATCGCGAGAGATATGAAAAAGAATAGAATACCATGATAACAAACGAAGCCTTTCTGAACAATGCTGTAAACCATGAAAGCACATTGTACGAATTGAGTACCAAGCTTATGACGTTCATGAGGAGGTAAATGGACAAAGCAAACACAACCTTCTAAAATATCTTTCTTGATCCTTGACCTTCTTTCATCCAATACTCTACCACCTGTACTAAACGAAAAATGGAAGACACTGTTGATATCAAAAAATGTTAGTAGATCTCACATTATTTTCGATATCATTGAATAAGATCTTTCATTTGTTTTTCACTATCTTAAGATATCCAAATTTAATACTTCAACCTCCGAAAACAAATTGTAGCGATCAAATTGATAATATCTTTCTAATTCAGCAAGTGTAGCAAGTGTAGCACTCATACTGGTGTTATAATTATAGCACCATGATGTTTCTTATCTATCACGAAATAAAATGAAAAATTACCATTAGAAGTTGCAACAGAGCTTGTAAAGGACCGAACACATGAAATTGGGTTATTTGAACCCTAATTAGAATACGTTTACTATTAGATTTTCTAGAATGTTTTCAGATGTTTCCTAATTAGAATGGGTTATTTGAACCCTGCATAAATGGGATCTTATGCATTTCATATTTACACTTCTATTATGCAACAAATTAATACTTTCTCCCCAAATTTCTTTATTCTCTTCCCTTAGAATGGGTTATTTCAACCCTGTATAAATGGGATGTTATGCATTTCATATTTACACTTCTATTATGCAATAAATTAATACTTTCTCCCCGAATTTCTTTATTCTCTTGCCTTCTCTTTAAGGGGCAAGTAATAATTACGTTGTACCATATTAGTTATTATGTTGATTGTAGTTCAATAATTTATAGTGTACTAGAGTTTTGTAACTTCTTTTATGTAGCTCACACCAAGAAAATGAATATAATAGATACCACAAGGATCAACAATCGAGTTTTTTGTCATATTTAATGCAACGTTATGCACAACAGGAGGAGAATGGCACATCGACAATTCTACTAGCAAGTGATGCTAATGCACAATCTTGGATTGTTGAAAGTTGTGATGATGGTGAGGTGAAGAATGATGTCTTACATATTAGATGAGATACTAGAATGTTAAGCTGAAATTAGAGAGCTCGAGAAAAATGATTTTGTCTTAAATGACATGGAACATGAGTTAGATGAAGAAGAGATTGAATTGTAGTCAAATAATTGTTAGACTATGGTGCAATCTAAATTGTCTATTTGTAGGAATTATCAAGTAATTATATTATTTTCAAAACCTGTTTTTTGTTGGAAACTCGAAAAGTATATATGAAGTTACTACAAATCAATTATGATTAGTTGGTTGTTAACTTATTTAATTGCATGCACTAAGCTAATAGACTTACAAATCTTATACTTTCAACATTGTATTATTTTATTTAATTATTGGTCTGTGAATAACTAAAAGAATATAAAAAATAGGGCAAGAGCTTATTACGCCTACACGTAAAGATTGAAGGTAATTTCATAACAGTAAATGTATTTTTCGAATCTTAATCTTCAACATGAAATTGGGTTTACTTCAAATTAACGTAAACAGTAATAGCATTTGAATACTGATTACCCGACTTTAGCATAAAAAACGTTGAATTATATGTATATGGAATGTCATCAACACATTTTCTTTTTCTCGGTCCAATTTTTTCAAAATTTTTCCAAATTCTTGTTGCAAGAATTTGAATAAGTAATATAGTTAATAATCTCTCTTATTTTGGAATTTTGTGTTGTTATTAATTTCAAACCATGTTGCATAACTAACAAAGTATATGTCAAACACCTCGCATATGAAATAATTTAGGACTAAATTGGGGTTGAAGAGATCTAATTAAAATCTCAATATGTGCAGTATTAGATTTAGAATTATTAAAACTAATGTTAGATGATTTATGTAAAACGTCAAATTCATTGAAAATTTGTAATAAATTCTCATACAAATTTGGAACATTATGTGAATTTTCAAATAAATGAAAAGCAATTATTCTTTTAATACAATAGTCAAGTATTATTGATAAAATGTGCGCTAACACAAGCATAATCATTATGGTTAATCCAGACCAACATTCGGACATAAAAGAAATAATTCAATTAAAGCTACAAGATTCTAATTTTAAATTTTGTGTCATTGTTTGAAATAATTTCATAATATCAGAACAAGCAATATTTCTACTTACATTTGGAAAAAAGTATTGGACATACTTAGATATTGGCCATTCAAGATTATACAAAAGATCAATGACATTGCATATGTTCTTGATCTTCCTGAGCATATAAAAATTTCCAAGATGTTTAATGTTGCAGAGTTTTTTGAGAATGTTTCAAACAATGATGGGTATCTATATCCTACTTTACGACTCAAAGTCCAGTTGTTTTGAAATGAAATAAAATAATGCAACTCAATTAGAAGAGAAAATCTTAAACCAATTAGAAAATAGAATAAAAAAGAAGGATTTACACAAATGTGCAGAACTTTCATTTGGGCGTCAAATTTTCATCCGTGAGCACCATTTGGAAGTGTTTTTCGAATCTGTACAATTTTGCAGAATCTTGAAAGGCCACTTAGGGGACCATTTTAAAGTTTTTTTGTCTGTAATTAAAAAGTTGTGCATCAAAAGAAAAACATGGCGTCCCATTTAACGATTATATTCCACTTCTTTTCTTAGAAAAACATGGCGTCCCATTTAACGATTATATTCCACTTCTTTTCTTACATTACTTTTTAATTGCAATATATGTCTTTAGTCTTTGTATTTATAGCTCTTATATCTCTACATTTTTGTCATATATTTATCTTTAATATTTCATTAATTAACAAATTCGGTTCCATGATGATTTTCATTCAAATACAATGGTGATATTGTCACCAATAAAATTCATTTTTAACACCAAATTTTTAGATATTTTGCTAATTTATGAAAATAGACATAAATAAAAGGACATGAATCATTACATAGTTGTGAACCAAGAACAACCCTTCATCTCAATTTTTTGGGGCTAAATGAGTATAAAAAAATAGATGGATTTTCAACTTGTTTCTTTTTTCTTCTAAGAGATGGGTTAGCAGGCAAGCCTAATAAAATATTAGAAGATTGTCACCACAAATTTCAATGCACGTATTTTTGTCTCAGGATTTCTTTGGTTTTTTATACTTCTCCCTTGCTTTTACGAACCTAACTTCCAGCCAAAGTGGATCGAGCACATTCAAAATTAGGAAGAATAAATTAATTATCATTGATTGTAACAAAATAAAGAAATGAGAAACAAAATGCAAAGCTAAATTGTAATAGAACTACATTGGAGTGCAGAACTACAGAACAAGTTATGAAAGCTTGTTCCTTCAGTATTTGTTGAGCCGAAGCTACAAGCGAATCCCTACAATCATACAATTAAATTGATACAAGAATTTGACACCTTCAAGATCGGGCATCGAACCAAAAATCGTCATATATTTCCAAGGGAACCTGCAACATAATGTTGTGGTTTGCAGGCCTTTGATATGGGTTCTTTACGATGTTTGACAATCTATTTCATGAATTTCTCCATCTCAGAAGGACATCAAGTTTTTCAAACACTTCTTCACAAGATAAATTCCATCTTTCATGCTTATTTAGAAAGTTCACATGATGAAGATAACAACAGCAGCTAGCATAAATAGCGAGGTTCTCTAGACTACTAGTTAACAAGATTCTACTTCCATATTATTTATATCTATTTCATATTGTCCCATACATCATCCATTACAATGGGATATCTCCTTTCGTTTAGTGATGCTTTTAGTCTACTAGTTAACAAAATTTTACTCAATCTTACTTGTATCAATATTTCATATTGCTCTAGATCGAATATTCAAAACATCATCCATCACAACAAGATACCTCCTTCCACTTATCCCAGGCTCTTAGTCAACAAGATTCTTATCATATATCATTCGTACGATTCCACGTTTCTTAGGCTCTTAGCTAACAAATTCTTATCATATATCATTCGTACGATAAGAGACCTCCATATCCCACACATCATCCATTATAATAAGACGTCTCCTTCCCTTTAAGAATATTTTCCTATTTACTAGTTAGCAAAATTCTACTTCCACATCATTTTTAAATGATTGTTCAGTATCGTCACGTCACGTAGTATTTCATATACCATCCATGATCGTAAATTTTTCTAACATAAAGTGTCTTACCGAGTCCTTCCATTCCAACTATAGAGATTGGATCAAGTTCCGTTTCTTGATCTCCATCAAATCAGCATCAAGATCCACCCCAATGATCTCATCTTTGGTTGCACTTTTTGAGGAATCAGCAAGCGATAAAGTCTTCCTCGCCAAAATTCCATTGTTTTCACTGCTCATTTGTGAAGAATTTTCAACAAAACTTTCAAGAAACTAAAAGGGCTTCTAATAGGGATGTAATTTGTTATTTCTCCTAGATCTATATATTGATAATCTTGAAAGCAACTTACAATTTCTTAATGGGATAACAGGCTGAATTTGCACAAATAACAAGATGACTCATTTAACTAAGCTATTTATTATTTTATCTAATGGTCAGAGATCTCAATGAGAACACTGTAGAAAGCGTGTGTAAGAGGACCCTTCAAACCGCGTGCAAATGCTCTTTTTTAATCCTTTCCCCAATTGTTTAGACATTTTTTGTACTATCCGTTTGGATTCTTGAAAAAGATAAAGTAGACTTTAGCGAAAGGTGGATGATTCAATGGATTTAGTCCTTTCGATATGATTTTAGTTTTTGCTTTTATTCCAAATTTTGAAGAAAGCTATTTCAAATTTTCTTTGAAAATTAATTTTTAAAAGTATTTACTATTCCAAATATATTTTTAGAGGAAGGTACTTTGGATCGACTTTCTCTAAAAGCTTATTTAACTACTAAAAGCATTTTCATAAAATTAGTCAAATAGGTCCAAAAATAATTTTTGGATTTCAAAAACTCCTTTTGACTTTTGAAAAGTTTAGTGTTAAATGTACATAATTCTCGACAGAATGAGTTACGGGCAGCTGAGGTGGCAAGCCTTTGAAATTGAAAGGTCAAAATATTGACACAATTAGAAAAAGAAAAGGAAATTTATTTTGTTTGAACCCTGCCCATTTTCTCTCGTCATTTGCAATCACCCCTAAACCCACATTTGACGACGCCGGCAACTTCGATGCCGACGCCAACACGGGCGTGAACCCAAACTCTTTTCTCCCGTCATTTGCAGTTAAACCTAAAACCATTATATCCAATCTTGAAGCAGACCAAATGGAAGTAGAACAAAACACATTCGACAAAATAATACCAATACATCTCTTCTACCCAATAGTTCAAAATACATACCAATGCATCTATTTATAGAAAAACTAAGAAGAGTTCAAGATAAGTAACTTTTTTCAACCTCCTTTAATGGAAGAAGAGTTTAAAAAGATTAAGTAACTTCCACGTCCTTTGATAGAAGAAGAGTTCAAAATAATTAAGTAACTCTTTTAGTAGCTCTCGGCCAATGACAAGCTATTCCTTTACCACGTAAAATTCTTCTATACAATAAAAAAACTTTTTGATTAACCAAGTTGCATTTTGATTAAGTCGTATATTTATCATCTTTATACTTCTAAAGCTTTTTGATAATTTTGGAACTTCTCATTTCTAAAATTCCTTGGTAAAGTTTACACTACTTTCAACAGTTTTTAGTTAATTGATTTTTTCTTTTTCGACTTTGAGGGTAGGGGCCTCAAGAGTTAAATTTAGTGCGGAGGGTAAAATTTTTATGCAAAACTTAAGCTAGGTCTGATCTTTCATTTTCTCCAATTAAATGTTTGCAAAAATTTCGAAAATAGGGAACTGTCTAACTTCAATTTAGTTCGAAGAAATCTAAAAGTTGTCATAAGGTATGAAATTATTTGGAAATGGAACATCTGTTTTAACTTCAACCTTCATTCTTTTTAAACTAATTAGTTTCTATTGAATCTCCATACAGGAGACCATGAACTCAACAAATTCGAAGGTGTGCAAAACGCAGAAAGACAGTTTCATCCCCGTTAAATGTTGAGGTAGTTGAATTATTTATCTTATGAATTCAACTGGTGAAGGATCCAAGTCTCAAAGCGAAGGGTCTCGACTCTGAATCCATGAAAGGGACTAAAAAAGATTTCATTTTTTCTTACCGAATAGCTCTAAAAAATAAAGGAAAGAGAGAAAATAAAAGTAGATCCAATATCTGCAAGACTCGAGTTCAAGTTCTTTATGGAATTCAACTACTGTATTTATTATTGCCTTTATTGCTGCTCCTCCAATAGATATTGATGGTGTTCATGAACATGTTTCTGGATCTCTACTTTACAGTAATTTTCACCTTAGAATGTTTGTAATCAAACTTACCATTTTAATTCATAGGAAGTTCAAACGACGAACAATTTTCCTTCTCAAATTCCTCAAGATGTCTGGCCACATAGGCGGATTTAATGGTGGGATGTAGCTGCAACCCACTATTGCCCATGTCCAAATAAATAAATAAATTGTTCTAATTGTAATCTATTAGCCCACATTAGCCTAACAACAATTAATTTCAATGGGCTAGCCCACCTCGAATGTTTTTTGTTTTAATCTTTAGGCCACTTATTTATATAATTTTAGGCCCACTTATTTGTATCAATGGATAATACCCATCGTCCCATTTAGTCTTTCTATTCTTATTCACGCCTTCACGTATAATCCCCTATTCTCATTTGAAATAGTTCCCAAAAACAAAATCGTTAAATCTTTTCACCATTGAACGTCGTCTCACCGCCTGCGACTCTACCGACTTAGGTTAGGGATTTAGGGTAAGTAATTTATTAATTTTCTTCCAACTGGCAATTGTCCAACAAAACAAAACATTAGTATAGATAAAGAATATTAAGTGGAATTTTTCATATATCATGAATTTTTCTTATTATATATAAATTTTCAAAAAAAAATTGCCCCCCGTAGCATTAAGTCCTGGCTCCGGCCCTGTCTGGCCACAAGAGAGTGTGTCCAGTTCTGAAATTTGGTTGTGAAACTGATGATTTTGGAACATTTGTGTACATGCTTAGTCTGCAATCATTTTGAGGCAAGTTGGTGGATGTGAATCTGCTGGGTTTTCTTGGGGGACATTTTGCTGTTTTTGTCATGGGTGATGACTTTATTTTTGTGTGTGAAGTACTTTTTTAATCTTAGTTGATGCACTTGGCTAAGTAGTTGAATCAGTTTTATGAAGATGGCAATGAATAGTTCAAGTGAATCAGTGTGTGCGCAATTGGTTAAGTGTCCGTAATTGGTTAGGATGGTCAATTATATGTTTTATTAGATACTAAGCTCTTGTTATTTGTTTGTATAGTCTATAACTTCAAAAGGACACTGTCTATTTTGCATCTTTGTTATTTGATTGTCAATTTTGTTTAAATTTCAATTTCTCCCAGTCCTATGATTCACTAACAAAAATAGGCAATGTAGTTATTATACTCGTTCCATTTCTTACAGCTCAATAGGATCTTCTCTGTTGCTTTTTCGATTGAGTATTCCAGCACTATTTTCCAAATCAATAAGAATCTTAGAATGTGAAAACTTTGTTTGCAGAAGCTGCTAAAGATGTACACTAAAACGCCTGCATAGAGACAATTACATCCAAATACAAAAAATAAATAAATAAAAGACAATTATCACCATCTCCTTACTTTGAACTTCATATTACATCTAATTTACACATTCCTTTCCTTTCTCGTTGTCTTCCAAATCTCGTTTCCCCTCGCGAATAGTTATGTTGAGGAAAATCTAAACGTCATATTCCAGGGATATTTGAGCAAATTTTTTGGCTATACATAACAAATCAACGACTGGATCATTAGACTTAGATGTCCTCAAACAAGTAAATCTTGATTTACTTCATATAGAAACACCACTTGATGCCAAAGTTTGGCTGAATGATTTTTCCTATTCAAGATACATTGCGTTATATAGATGAATTATATGTACATGGTAATGTGATCGAATTTTAGGTAAACTGTAATTACTACCTAAAGTACAACACACACATATAAATATTGTAATAAATCGCAATCTTTGTGATTATCGAAATCTCCATGATCTCGATCTCGATCTCAATCTCATTGACATTCCTCCTCAAATTGATGTTGGACAATCGAAAAGCATCAATATTCAATGTGTGATTCTTCTAAAGAGCTTGAAATTCCTCCTACATAGCTATCTCCCAACAGGGTTGAGTAACAACCTAAGAATAAGAAGTAGGAACTGTGAAATGAGATAAGGTTGTAGAAAAAGAAATATTTATTAGGAGGATTAGTAACGCAAGTGGATCACCAAAGAATAGCAGAGTCTGGGATGGGATCAAGATCGAGAACCAAAAGAGATAATCGATCTGTGGGCTCGTCGTCTCTGATATACCATACCTGGTTCAAAACGATCTACAAAACCACAGTCATTTTCAAAGCTAATAAGCAGAACCAAATCAGGAGACTAAACAATGTATTATTAGAAGTAGTATTAATTCTAAAATAAATCACATCACAAGAGATATGAAAATTATTAGCAACACCATCATAACAAACGGAACCTTTCTAAGCAATGTTGTAACCCATGAAAGCATACCGAAAAGATTAAGCACCAAGCTTATGACGTTCATGAGAAGGTAAATGGACAAAACAAACACAACGAAAAGTGTGCAACATGTATCATACATGCGAAATAAGATGAGTCAAAATTCAAATGCTAGGCAAGAAGTCAATTAATCAGATATATAGCTATGAAAAGGGCTTCCACCAAACATTCAGGTTGAATCAAAGATTCTAAAAGCAAAACTCTGACAAACATCCAATAGGCGAGGATTATTTCTGTTTGCCACTCCATTTTGCTAAGGGATACATGCGTAAGAACGCTGAGAGAGAATACCCTTTTTTGTAAAAAGGATTGACACTGATGAGACATATATTCCCCACCATTGTCAATCCTCAATATTCGAATACTGGAGGAGAATTGTGTCTCAATATAAGCTATAAAAGTTTGAAGAATGGTACCGACCTTACCTTTAGAGTGTAGAAAATATATTCAAGTGTAACAACTGAAATCATCAATAAACGTCACAAAGTATTTATAACGAGCATGCGAAATTACAGGTGCCACGACTCAAACATCACTATAAATAATCTCAAAGCATTTATCAGCACAACTTGAGTTGGAAATGGAAGAGTCTTACTTTTTCCAAGTTTACGAGTATCATAATTGATAGACAAATTGGAAAATTAAAACTTGCCTTTATTACCCAAAAAAACACACTTCAACAAATGAGATGAAATTAAAGTATTAGGATGACCCAATCGTTTATGTCAAACTTCATGTTTAAATATATCACTAATGCAAGCTAAAGACAGCAAAAGGAATAGTAAACTATAGTGGGAACAATCTTTCAACTTTAGGCCCCTTCGCAATTACTTTCCCCAATCCCTAATCCTCAGGACAACCGACACGAGAGAAACACATATCACAGTTATTATCAACTAATTAACCAATCGAAATCAAGTTTGTAGATAAGCTTGGAGATACATAAAT